ACCTCTGCTTCTGAGGATAAGTTCATCCGAGTCACCAGCCTCAGAAATCGCAAGTTAACAGCAGCTCAGATCAGAGACCAGATGAATGCCACACAGAGTTCTAGCAGCAGACCCATCTCTAGAACAACTGTTAAGAGGAGACTGCGCCAATCAGGCCTTCATGGTCAAATAGCTGCTAGGAAACCACTGCTAAGGAGAGGCAACAAGCAGAAGAGATTTGTTTGGGCCAAGAAACACAAGGAATGGACATTAGACCAGTGGAAATCTGTGCTTTGGTCTGATGAGTCCAAATTTGAGATCTTTGGTTCCAACCGCCGTGTCTTTGTGAGACGCAGAAAAGGTGAACGGATGGATTCCACATGCCTGGTTCCCACTGTGAAGCATGGAGGAGGAGGTGTGATGGTGTGGGGGTGTTTTGCTGGTGACACTGTTGGGGATTTATTCAAAATTGAAGGCACACTGAACCAGCATGGCTACCACAGCATCCTGCAGCGACATGCCATCCCATCCGGTTTGCGTTTAGTTGGACGATCATTTATTTTTCAACAGGACAATGACCCCAAACACACCTCCAGGCTGTGTAAGGGCTATTTGACCAAGAAGGAGAGTGATGGAGTGCTGCGGCAGATGACCTGGCCTCCACAGTCACCGGACCTGAACCCAATCGAGATGGTTTGGGGTGAGCTGGACCGCAGAGTGAAGGCAAAGGGGCCAACAAGTGCTAAACACCTCTGGGAACTCCTTCAAGACTGTTGGAAAACCATTTCAGGTGACTACCTCTTGAAGCTCATGGAGAGAATGCCAAGAGTGTGCAAAGCAGTAATCAGAGCAAAGGGTGGCTATTTTGAAGAAACTAGAATATAAAACATGTTTTCAGTTATTTCACCTTTTTTTGTTAAGTACATAACTCCACATGTGTTCATTCATAGTTTTGATGCCTTCAGTGAGAATCTACAATGTAAATAGTCATGAAAATAAAGAAAACGCATTGAATGAGAAGGTGTGTCCAAACTTTTGGCCTGTACTGTCTGTTTTTGATTATCGACTTCTATTCCTGTTATATTAGTGTCTTGTCTGACCAGTTGGGCCAATGGTTCGATATATAGGGCGAATAAGGTGGGACTAAGACAGCAACCCTGTCTAGTTCCTCTCTCTAATATAAATCTTTCTGTAAGAGAGCCGTGAACTTTTACTCGAGCTGAGGGTTTGTTATAGATAGACTTGATACACTGAATTGATTTTTCGTTGAATCCAAATTTCTCTAATGTTAAATATAAATATTCCCAATTAACCCTATGGAACGCTTTTCCTGCATCTAAACTTATCAATGCTGCAGGTAGTTTATTTTTATGTTTTCTATGTATAATGTGTAACGTTCTTCTGATGTTGTCTTGTGTTCGTCTACCTGTAACAAAGCCAGTTTGGTCTTCATCTATTAAGTATAATACAAATGACTGAAGTCTGTTTGATATGATAGAGGTATAAAGTTTGTAGTCAACATTTAAAATTGAAATTGGTCTATAATTTTGGCAATATTGATTATCATTTAATGGTTTAGGGAGCATAGTAATTATCGCTTCATTCCACGAAGGAGGAATAACACCTGTAGTCAGGATCCAGTTAAATGTGATGTGTAATAAAGGGGATAATTGTTTTTCTAGTTTCTTATACCACTCGGACGGAAATCCGTCACTGCCAGGTGATTTATTTGTTTTTAGTTTTCCTATTGCTTTCTGGATTTCTTCTATAGTTATCGTTTTTGTTATGCATTCATTTTGTTTTATACCGATATATGGTAGATCCAAAGTGTCGAGAAATGCTTTTACATCATTTGGATTTGAGGAGGGCGGTTGAGTGTGAAGTTCTTTGTAGTAGTCTCTGAATATGTTTTCAATTTCTTGTGGTTCAGATATAATTTGATTAGTTTTGGGATCGTGTAATTTATGGACTGCTGTTTCTGTCTGTCGTTTCCGTAGTCTTCTCGCCAACAACTTAGTTGCTTTGGGGCCCAATTCATAGTAATTTTGTTTTAAATATCTTGCCTATATTTTATATATTATAATATCGTCATGGTGATATTTAACAGTTATCACATATTGTCCTCAAATCTCACAGCTCTGCTTTACAGCTTCTCAAATGCAAAATGCTTTCCTCTGTTTTATATCACAAACAGAAAATCTTTGTGTTTTTGGTGAATAAAAAAAGGTGTCTTGACTCATGAATCCAGATCATTTCTCATGGATGCAAAGATCATATAAAATCAGATATGTCCCTCAGCGGCCTCGGACGACCTCGACATCAACAACAAAGCAAAATCTCACGACTGATTTATATTGTCTCATGATTTATATCATCAAATCAACTATGATCCTATCTGTGGATGAGAGTTATACTTTCTTTAATTATTTAATGAAATCTGAAAAATGTTTCCTTTGAGTTTGGAAAATTCTCAGAATCTGGTTTGTTGCCAAGGAGGTTTTAAACATCAAGGAGTTTCCTTCTGACTGTTGTTGCATAACAGAAACACATTAAAGGTCCAGTGTGTCAGATTCAGTGGCGTCTATCAGTGAGGATTACAGATTACAGATTACAGATTACAACCATCTAAACTCCTGGTTAGAATTCCTTCAGTGTTGATTGTTGAGGAGTTGAATTATCCTCAGACCAGCTGATTAACACCAGGAAACACTCTGAAAATGTTTCACTTTAAAACATCTGTATTTTTCTGAAGCTCACATCAAACACATGAATGTCTCTGTTTAGAGCCAGTGTTTAGTTTGTCCTTTCTGGGCCACCGTCCTTCTTAAAAACATTTATGATATCTTATGACTCTCTAACACACGTCAACACATTCAGCAGCATAATTCAGTATTAAGTTTAGCTCCATGTAAAGTGAATAAAGGAGATGTTTCCCAGCTGATGCTGCGCTCGTCTGCCTAAACGACAGTTTATACATTTCTATAACTGCAGGTTTATTAAATCAGACTGAGTGAAACATGACGACGCATTTTAAATTTAAATCAGTTAATCTGATATTAGCGTTATAAAGTACAGGTGGCAACTTATTCCTCTGTCGGTCGGTGATGGAAACTGTACCGTTAGTTACAGGAATCTCTTTTTGTTCTGACTGTGTGTTGTTGGAGTCACAAATGTATCTCAGTGTGGTTGTTAATAACTTTACAGACATGGTCAGAACAACAGGTGCCAGAGCTCCACAGACATTTTGGAAAATACTAATTTAACGTTAGTTAAATATCTGTTAAAAAAACAAAATGGTATTTGTTAAATTAAGAAACACAGTAGGTGGTTAGCCACCAAGATGAGCCGCTGAGACTAACCATAGATGATCAGTGTGAACTAGCTTACTGCTACTAATCATTTTACACCCTCAGGAATAAGGTGGATACGCTAAAGAAAACATACTTATTATATTTCTGCCAATATATCCCCCTGAATCCTCCAGACTGGAGCTTCAAAATTTGGGTTAAATTACCTGAAACGATGGACTCTGTATAAAGCGAGGTATCTGTGTTTCTTTGGTTTTCAGTGAGTCTTTACTCAGAAGGGAAGAGTTGACATATTTTTTATATTATATTCCATTTCTGCCACAATATTTGCATGAATCCTCCAGACTGGAGCTTTATAAGAAAATGAAATAAAATCAAGTGTCAAAAAAATCCTGAGACGTAAATATGGAACAGAGGAAAGTGTTTAAAAAATATGTAGAAATATCTGAATAAAAACAAAAGCTGTGCAGGTTTTAGACATGAGAGTTATGTGCAGTCTACACTCACAGTGTGAAGTCTGAAGACTGTGTGCAGAGAATTCATTCATTCATTCACTGACTGTGATTTATCGATGCTAGGAGCTTTGTGAGAATCAGAGCATCAGATCAGCCGTCCGTCTGTTTACAGCTGGATCATTGATTATTGATCTGATCAGTGTCTGAGGCCGCAGCAGCTCCAGCTGTTGTTGTTTCCTCTCCTTCAGCCAACTGATGGAAACCCAGAGAACAGATCATTCATGTGGCTCAGGTTTCTGTTACTGTTTTTGTTGGTGTGTAAAATCCATAAACGGAGTCTATTTTTAGTGCCAGAGCAGCAGTGAAACATCTGCTCTCACTGAGTCACTCCTCACACCTGCTATTATGTCAGTGTGTCACATTCAGAGCGTGAATATTAAAGTGGCCTCGCAGGCTTCTGGGTTACTCACAGTCTGTGTGAGTGGATGTGCTCTGACTGACACTTCAGTCTCAGCTGTCACTCCTTCGGTACCCTGTGATGTGTTCACTGTCCTCCACCGGCTGGGAGAAACTGTTTTCAACCTGCTAAATAAAACTGCTGTTAACTGTCAGGTGTGACGACCATGAGTTACCAAAGCTGTGAGGACACGTGGACACGAGAATCATCGTCACCTTCTGACGGTGATTCGAGAAACCAGACGGATACACTTTGGATTTGACTCAAATCATTTTCCTCACAGCCGTTTTCTGTTTCCTGTATTTGGGGTCAAATTTACTCTGTAGTTTGTTCTGTCAGTGACTGTATTCCTCCTGAAGTTTAATGTGTTCATCCTCTGACCAGTCTGGTTTTCTTCTCTTCTCTTCTTCTGATGTTTTTCACTATCGAACTTTAAGACAACTCTGTGAGACGATAACAAGTGTCACAGTGAGTCCAAGCAAACAAACAGTCTCCATGGAAACTGTTACCGCTGTAAAATCCATTTCAACGCGGTAAATGAGTTTTCCCTTAACTAAGGAAACCTTTAAGGGACCCATGCAACTGTGTAAGGCCCTCAGCTGAGGAGAAATTAAGTGTCATAGTTAAGGAGAAGAATGTGGGAAGGTTAAATATGAACATCTGATACTGTAACATTTAACACATGACAGAAATAAGGAAAAGCAGAATCTGTCCTTTTAAGATCACAGTAAACCTGCAGTAACAGAGCTAATGCTAATGCTAATTCTAACGACTCATCAGCCAATCATGTCTCTCCTCCAGGTGCCGCCAATGGACCCGATGGCGATGAAGCGCTCGCAGCTCTACGGCATGAGCAACAACCCGTATTCCCAGCAGCAGGGGGCGCCATACTCCGGCCAGGCCTACAGCGCCCCCTCCCCCCACAGATACCCGATGGGGATGGCCAGCAGGGGGCAGATGGGGATGGGAGCGATGCAGTACCCGCAGCAGCAGGTAGGGGACGCTCCGTCCACCTCAGACCAGTACTCACTTCTCTGTCCTGACAGGTTGTAGTTCAGTCTGTGTCCCATGAGCCTCTCTGAGGCAGATTGTGTCACTTCCTGTCTCCTCTGCGATGATGTCAGCGCTGTTATGTTTACGGTTGTCCGTCTGTCCCATCTTTGTGAACGCCAAATCTCAAGAACGCCTCAAGGGAATGTCTTCTAACGTGACACAAACGTCCACTTGGACTGAAGAACAAAGTTTCACAGACATGGATGGAAACTGTAGAGAAACTGGACTGGTGGGCGGAGTCACACAACTGTGATGCAGTTTGTTGGTGTCTTTGTAGTAAAATGTGTCTGTGGAGTTGTTGTGCTGCAGTGTGTGTGTTACTGTGTGTGTGTGTACTGTGTGTACTTTGAGCCTCAGTGTTTCCTGTCGTCCTGCTGATTCATCTGCAGCATCACTACCTCGTCACTGTGGACGCTCAGAGGACAACAGATCTATTGATGCTGTGTGACCACATGGCTGCTGCCGCGCCAGCCGAGCCGGGCCGGGCCGGGTCAGGCTATTCCTGGTGCAGACTGGGCCCAGGCTATTTTTAGACTCCAGACTGCTGGTTTGGGTTTACTGGCGACTGATGCGTCATGAACAACAACATTAAGCAACACTGAGCTGGAGCTGAAATCAGACCACAGGAAACGTTGAATCTGAATACAGGAGTTTGATTTCAGTCTGTTAAAATAAATCCTGCAGATGTGAAGAAGAACTCAGAGCTGCAGCAGAGCCCACCTCTCTGCTGATCGTCTGTACCATCATTATGTTCCACACAATACGTCTGAACATCTGCAGTTAGAGCTGAACAGAAACAACATGACGGGAAACTTGAGTGGAAATAAAAAAACTTGAAATGTAAATGTAAAACAAAAAGAGAAACTCAGACGTACATCAGTGCTGATTATATTTGTGATGAGAAAATATCTGGTAACATCAAGTCGAGCAGCAACAACCAGTCGCTAAATTGATCAACAGGAAATTAATCTGCAACTATTTTGACAATCACTGAATTGTTTCTGAATTTCCAAAACAGGTTTGGAAAAAAGGTGGGTTTATTTTACGCCCTCGGCCTCGTCTTTTGCCCCACCGCCAACCAGGAAGTGACTTCAGGGAACTCACAGACAAACAGAAATTAATTCACATCTCAGAAAAGCAAATAACAAGACAGAACAGTGTAAATTAAATGTGTGTGATTGATCTAGAAAACAGTGTTTTATCAAAGTGCTAATAAATAAATTTAAAGTAAGCAAACTGGTGATTAATGGGAGCGTTCACAGCTGCATAGAAACAGGAATATTAGTTTGCACATACGTCATGTGATCAGCTCAGTGGGAAGGTTGTGTTTTTGGAACAAGGGTAAAAAACAGCTGGTCACACAACTAATAATGATTAATGACTCAGTGACATCACGTGACATCACCACGCGCTGAGTTTCAACCAGGTTTCTTTGGACTTTCTAGTAAAAGTCAAACACGTGTGAAATCTGGAGGGAAGTGTTGCGTGAAGGTTTCTGCTGCTGTGCAGGAAATTTCAGGTGGATTTCTCAGACGTGATCGTAGATTACTCAGATCACAGTCTTCCTCCTGTGAAGTCTCCTCGCTCCCTGAGGCCTCGCTCAGATTCCTCCACAGAGAGGTCGCCATCGCCGAGCGCCACACACCTTATTACATCATTACAGGTTGACAAGCGTGTTTCTTTGTTCAGCCTGAGGGAACTTGTGTCAGTGTTGTCATCTGTGCTCGCTGAGACTCAGAGAGGAAATGTAATGACTTTTATGTGAGCGAGGCCCCAGGTGGCCCCCGTGGCCCCGGGACTCGTCCTTTATTAACTCCCTGGTTCCAGATGAAATTGGATGTCGACCTGTCGGTTTCCTGCTCTGCGCTGCTGCGATTTATTCTGCTTTGACACGACTCTGTGACTGCACATGTTAAAGGAACAGTCTGAAATATCTTCCTCCATCTGGACCCTGTTAGTGGCCCTTCCATTTCTCAGTTGTGTCAGGCAGTTTGTGTTTTAATGATGAGCCTCTACATGTTCCCACAGATCCTTAAAAAGCCTTAAAAGGCCTTGAATAAGTTAATCTAAAAATAAGGCCTGTGTTATATCAAGACGTCTTAAATCAGTCTTGAAAATGCTCAGACATGGAACGATAAATTCTGTGTCTCAGGAGCACATTCGTCAGATGTGGCACGATCGTCCAGTCAGACTCAACGATGAACTGATTAGATGTCCGTGGTCATAGGGTAAAGGTCAAGGTCACTTTGACCTCATTTGTCTCATTGTTAACATGATATCTAGACAACAGCTTGTGGGAATTTCTTTATATGTGGCACAAACATCCACTGGGACTCAATGATTAGAATGGTTGTCGAAGGTCAAAGGACAAGGTCACTGTGACCCAGAGTCCCCACGGTCATGGAAACCTGGAAAAGTCATAGAATTAATAAAAATCATTAAACTTTATCATTTGACTTTTTGAATCTTGTTGATCTGTGTCAGTGTGTGACATCATTTTGTTTAGTATTACGTACGTTTCATCATCATCACGTTCTGTCTCTCTGGACGATGTGGTGCACAAAATACAAACTATGACATATTGTGGCCTCCAGATAAGTTCAACATCAGCAGCCCACAGACGTCATGACGGCAGATCTGATGATCCAGCTGCTTCGGTTGCTTTTAGAGTTAACTGGTTTGCAGGATGTTTGAGTCGCGTGATGACATCATGAGCCGATTGTTTCGACTGTCACGCTCAACAAAAAAAGAAAGCAAACAAAAATCCCCAAATAAACAAACAGGCTTTCTTTACATAAAGTTCAGAGCAGCGGGATATTACATGACTTCATCAGACAGTAAAAACTGAGATGAACCAAACACACGGTGGTTAAAGACTGTAACCCTGTGGTGTCGCTCCACGCTCACCTCAGCACACCTGCCTTTGATTAAAGGTCCCTCAGATGGCGGGTCAGGTGGTGCATCAAAGTGACTCCATGTTTCCATCTCATCACGAACATGTCAGAACATATTGATCTCTTTATAAATGACCTCAGGTGTTGATTTTATTTTTTTTTTTATTTAACCTTTATTTAGCCAGGTTAGTCCCGTTGAGATTAAGAATCTCTTTTTCAAGGGAGACCTGGCCAAGATGGTCAGCAGCAAAAACACAAAGTTGCAGACAGAGACATACAGGGAGAACAAGTACAATTCACAAGCACTAAAATTTGCATAAAGAAAAGATGGATGAGTTCAGTGTCGACAGTTGCAGCTCGAAGTTTCTCCTCCTTCACTGGTGTGACTGTGTGACTGCAGACATCATGGCTGACACCTGCTTACATCATTACACTGCTGTTACACCTCGGTTGCTGCTCTTGAGCAAGGCAGTTAATCCTGGGCCGCTCGGAGCGGCGCCTTTCACAGATTGCACTGACGTTGCATCGTATTGCGTTTTGCTGTTCCTGAGGAGAGGGTGTGCTCTCAGCTGGATAACGATCTGAGCAGGAACAACTGTGGAAGTGTTAAAGCACCTTTTTAAGGTGGTATGAATGTTAATGTGGAGCTTTAATTTGTTTCTGTGAAGATGAAAGGTCTGAGCTGGTTTACCTGCTGCAAACAAAGATACGTGCAACTTGTTTTTATGACTATGATTCTCCTGTCAGACAGAAATGTGTTGAACAGCTAGCAGACAAACCTGATTTTCTCTTCCCAACTGTTCACACACTGCAGCTTTAACCTTTGATGAACCAGGAAACACTGACTGAGCTGATTCTCCTCAGACTGAAGACAAAAAATAATTTCCCCTCATAATGCAAGAAAACCTACGGAGCCCCTTAAAGGTCAAGTCAGGAGATTTTTTTTTTTTGGACTGACTTTTTGCACCCCCCTCGCAATAAATTTTGCGTCCCCTTGCAGTACTTGCCTGTGGAATGAGTAACGTGACCACTAACTTGTCCCCAAACGAACGAAAGTTTCTGTTAGTCAACTCTAAAAGCAACCGAAGCAGCTGGATCATCAGATCTGCCGTCATGGCGTCTGTGGGCCACTGATGTTGAACTTATCTGGAGGCCACAATTTTGCGAGTGAACGCAAAAGTATTGTGAGGGAACACAAAATTTAGTGTGAGGAAACGCAAAATTTAGTGTGAGGGAACGCAAATTCGACTCTTCACAAGTTTGCAAGTTTGGAGACTGTTGATGAAGATGGACGACACAACAGCTCCCGAAACATCTGGATTGCCCCCTGGTGGTTGGCTGCAGGTCATAGGTCAATAACCCCGCCCCCTTCATGTCAGTGGATGGGACGTGAACCAAACTAAACTGAACCAAAGATGGTTCCTGTGTTTTCAGGTAGTTTTTATCACTCTGCTGTTTGTGTTTCTGATCAGTTTGGTTTTAATCAGTTATTTAATGTTATAAAACAGATTTTACAACATGATTGACAGCTTTGTGAGCCAGTCAGTGGGCTCAGATTCAGTGGCGCTGCTTGTAACTTGTCAGACGGGTGTCTGACAAGTTACAAGCAGTTTCCAGTTTGAGTTTCCAGTTTCCAGGCTTTCATCTCATTTTCCAGCTGCTGAGTGCAGCGACACTGCTCCTTAATCTGCCTCTCTGTGCGTTGGGCCTGGACCTTCATGTGTTCTGCTGTTTGATCAAACTTCACTTTAACTTGTTCACAAACCTTTAACTTCTCCTTTAAGAGCTCCAGTTTCCTCAAGTTCCTTCTTGTGTTGTCGTGCAGCTTCATCGATGGGTCTGAATCTGTGGTTGGTGTGTTTGTCTGAATCTCTGCAGACGAGACACACTGGCTGCTGATGGTCTCTGAAGCTCTCTGATCTCTCTCCTGTAAGAGACTCTCAAACAGGTTCTTCAGAGGTAGTATTTCCTTTGAGTGTCGTCTCTTACACTCTGGACACTCTCGTGCTGGTTTCTGTCTCCACCAGCTCTGCAGACAGAGGCTGTGGCTACATGACAGGATGACAGGATCGTTCTTGAATTGGACGTCTCTTTGACTGGATGGTGAAAACATTCAATCACCGCCAGGTTAGGAAACATTTTAGCATGCTCCTTCCACCACCATCAAACCTCCAAAGGATCCTCCTTGGCTGATCGGAGAGACGCTTAGAGTCAGGAGGTCAGAGGTCAGATGTCCCTGTACGTAAGAACTCACTCAGAACCTTCCCCTGAAAATCCAGCACCAACGTGTGCACCTCACACAGACTCAGGAGAAGTTTTCTGTGGTTATAACTGTCCTGATGTCCTGATGTCCTCTGTGTGTCCTCAGATGGGTTCTCAGTACAGTCAGCAGCAGCAGCAGCAGCAGCAGCAGCAGCAGCAGCAGCAGAGCGTGGGAGGTTACTGTCAGCCGGGTCAGCCGCCGTACTTCAGCCCTCCACAGCAGCAGCCCGCCGCCCCGAGCCAGCCGCCGTACATGCAGCCACGCCCACTGCCTCAACAGGTACGACCACAGATCGACGAAACCTGAACGCTGCATTTTATACCATTCAGAGTGGAGCTGTAGAGGACTGTGTGAGTTAAGAGGACGCTGCAGTGTTGAGGCGAGAAACTATTAAAGTCTGCACTATAAGTTTTTGACGATATGTTGGTTTGAGTTTTGTGATATTTGTTAACAGGAAAAAACACTGAATGAGTTTAGTAATTTGAGATTCAGAGTTCAAATGTTGGTCACACAGGAAAGAGTTGTAGAGACGGTCGTGATGTTACCAGCGAGCGGGGCCCATGTACTGACTGACCTCCTCAGTAGACCAGTCGGGGCCAATCACAGGGGCCTCAGCTCTGTCAGAATTATGATCAAGGAAATCTTTAGACTTCCAGTTTGTGACAGAAGCTCTGCAGTCATGAAGCTGGGAGGTGACTGATCAGGTTTAACTGAGAGGTGGAGCAGCGTGTGGTGATGAGGACCCTGTGAAACGGTAGAAAGCTCCAGAACACAGACTGAATAAACTCTGAGGCAGGTTTGATGAACGTCATCAGTTCCTCTGAGAGTAAAGAAAATGTTCCTCTGAGGGTTTCTGACGTTTGACCTCTGGTCTGTCTCGACGCAGGAGGTGCCTCAGGAGGCATACGGGGGCCGAGGCCAGTCTGCTGCTATGACTCCTGGGAAACCAAACCACGAGGAGATGAGTCTGAGCCAACAGGAGAGGCCGTCCAGCCTGCCGGTACGTCACTACCTTACATCACTTTACGTTCCACTAACACTGTGTTTAGATGCTCAGAGACTCAGTGATGATGTCACTGATGCCCTTATGAGTGACTGTCTCTCACATATCTGCTGTGTTCAAACAAGAACTCTCATTAAATTCAACAAGGTGCCATTTCTTATAAATGCTCCTTAAAAAGACAAACACATCTGTCATGTGCTTTTTTCTTTTCAAATAATCAGTAGTGTCTATAGATAAATTCTGTTTATTGTACATAAAGTTAAAGTTTATGTTCAATAAACAGAATTTTTTATAGATGCCGATCAAATTAGATTTAAGTGAATATTTTTTATTTTCTTTGATATGTTTTGTCAGATACAGATGCAGTGATGATTTCTGGGTAGTATGTATGTTGATATGTTGAGTCTCTGATTGATCATGTGACGAGATGATATGTGCACAGTAGCATGCACTACAGCCTGCTGTGATGACCTCACACCACTAGACACCAGTAAACTTATATGTGATTATTTTTGATTCATTTAAATTTTATTTTACTTATAAAGCTTAATATCACAGTGTTGGTGCAGTGTTCAGGTCAGCTCACACTTAAATCAGATTTTTTTCCAGTAAAAATACTGAAAAGTTTGAGTCTGTAAAAAACTGAACTGCATCATTTTCAGATAAGAAATAATAACAGAGGCCCGAGTACGGAGCTCTGGGGAACACCGGTGTTTTTCTCTGGAGGTTTTTTCTAATCACAGGACGTCTGTTTATGAGATAAAACGTCTCGGAGTGAGTCAGCGAACATGAGGAGAATATTTTCCAGTTAGTTTAACGTCTCCATCACATTCGACTGCGACATTTCACTCATAGAAAAAAAAACATTTGAAACCTGCTTCAACAAAATCACCTTCGTCACTGACTGCTCCTCTCTAACTGCTCCTCTCTTACTGCTCCTCTCTGACTGCTCCTAACTGCTCCTCTCTGACTGCTCCTCTCTAACTGCTCCTCTCTGACTGCTCCTCTCTGACTGCTCCTCTCTAACTGCTCCTCTCTGACTGCTCCTCTCTGACTGCTCC